GAGGGGGCAGGCGTGGGGGAGGGGGTAAAGGGAGCAGCCTTTCGGAGGGCAGTTCCGCAACAGGCGGTAAGAGCACAAAGGCATGTCCTCCTTTTGACCCAGAAGTCCCTGCCTTAGCAACGTGTCCTGAGGACAATGACTAGGGAAATCAGCGAATCTGTAGATTCAGGGACGTCTTCTCAGCATTGTTAGCAACATTGAAAAACAAAACAACCCCCCCCCCCCAGTGTCCAACAACAGGAGACCGCTTTATTGTATTGTATACACCCAGGAAAATACTACTGTAGCTTTTCAGACCAATGATATAAGCTTTTAGTTATTAACGTTGGGAAATAGTAAGCATTTAAGATTTTTAAATGCGCATGGTATTAATTCACTGTGAGATATGAACACATGATTTATTTACTTCTAGGTGATATATAAAAACAACACTAGATGAGTATACGTTAAACAATAATGTTGATTTCTTAGGGTAGCATTTCCTTTCTTCTTTATAAAATTTTGCTTATTGATGCCATCTACTTATTTTTCTAAAATCAACACCATGACAGACATAATTTAAACAACAACATGCACCCCGATGTTCATGGGAGCGACCCCCCTGGTGAGGAGCCTACGTGCTGGTGGCCGGCACGGGCTGGAGCAGAAGCAGCCCTCATCCAAGGTCAAGGATGAAGGGAGAATGGGGGTCAGGCAGTAGACTAGCCTGACAGGCGCTGTTTTTCCATATTTCTCTTACTTAGCATCAGTGTACACGCACCCCTCCCCAGCACGCACACACACACACACACACACACACACACGACACAAAGCTGATCACAGGCACCTAGGACATCAATGTGCTGGGAAGAAACAGGCAGGAGCTTGGCGGGGCGGCCGACTGGGGGCAGAGGCAGAGGACAGAGTTAAAACCAGCCTCCCACGCCTCAGAAAAAGAGTTTGTTGTCCCCATTTCACAGATGGAGAAATGGAGGCCAGCTAAGTTACAATAGAAGCAAGCTCTGGGGTTGGACCCTGGCCTGTCTGACCCCAAAGCCTGATCAGGCTCTGCCGATCGCCAGCTCCAAACTGGGCCTCGTGCTAAGCACCAGAGGTCCCGTCTGCCTTGTCTCCGGGACGTCACGGTCTGTTCCCGCCCGGCACCCGCGCAGACGGCACCCACGCAGACGGCACCTGCGCAGACGGCACCCACACAGACATCGCCGGCTGACCAGGCAGCCGCTTTGAATCAGAGTTGCCTGCCGAGATGAAAGCTATGAGGTTTTACCTTGACTCATCGAAACAGACAAGTCATACAAACACCAGGAAATCCTACCCTATCGGATGAGGATTTGAAGGCAAAGTTAGTAAACAGTCAGTTACATCCACAAAGCTCATACCGTGCCTACGGGCTCATCCTACCCAGAGATGTTCTCACCCACACGGAAGTCCAAGGGCCGGAGTGAGTGTCACATGTCTGCATCCGGACCCTCAGACGTTCTGTGTGAAGGCGGCTGTGGAAACCGTGGTGACGGGGCCGCGAGGAAGCCCGTGTGTGCGGCCCCCTGGCCCTCGGAGAGAGCCTGCTCTGCCTTAATGGTAAGCCTCGCAGCGGCAGGGCACGCTGCGTATTCATATCTCACACTGAAGTCATACCGCTCACGTTTAAAAATCTTAAATGCTTACTGTTTTCCCAGTTCATAGACAAAAGCTTTCATCATTGGTCTTAAGAGCTATGTAGTATTTCCTGGGTGTACACAGTACAATAAAGCCGTCTCCTGCTGTTGGACACTCCAGGTGTTGGTTGTTGGGATTCAACAAACTAACCTGTAATAGGCGTTAGAAAACGTATGCTGGATTCGAAAATACCTCGTTTATTCTGAGTCACAAAAATGCACTCTTATATATATGTATTTTTATTGATTTTAGAGAGGAGGGGAGAGGGAGAGAAAGGTAGAAACATCAAGGATGAAAATCAGCCCCGGAGATTGAGTCCACAACCCAGGCACGTGCCCTGACCAGGAATCGACCGGGACCGTTCTGGTTCATAGGTCGATGCTCAACCACTGAGCTATGTGGGCTGGGGACACAAATGAGTTTTTTGAAAAGCTGCGAGGAACTTGGCCCCCAGCTTCCAGTCCTCCCAGGTGACTCACCACAGCCACCCTCCCTCCTCCCTCATCTCACCGGCCTCATCTCACCAAGGTGTCAGAGGCGGCTGGACGAGCGGAGGGAGCCCAGGGGAGCGAGAAGACCAGCCCCCTCTTGGCCTGAGAGCTACACTCACTCTGGAGCTGATGGCTTCCAGCTGGAGATCCTTCTCTTTGTTCTCACTTTTCAGTTGGTTCACCTCCTGCTTCAGTTGTTGAACTTCCTCATCCTTGGCTATCACATCTCTTTGCAAAGAGGACACCATCCCTGTGTAAAAAGCAAACAGACCACAAAAGACTCACCGAGGTCAAAGAGGCAACAAGGATTCCTGTCATCACCTCTGCTATCAGCCACCGTGGACCACTGAGAATGGGTGGGGCTGTTTGTTACTGCGGCATAACCCAGCCCCTGCGGCTCAGTCTTGGATGTGCACACAGAACACCTGGGATCTTGCTGATGTGCAGGGCCTCTGATTCAGAGGTCTGGGCGGGGGCCCGAGACTCGGGGTGTGACCGATGGTGGTGGTCTGGGGGGACCAAACAAAGTGGTATCTGAGAGAGGCTTGAAGTGTGGATGAGGCCTGATGAGCAGATACTGGGGGGAGGGGAAGGGCTCAGCGAGTTCATCTTTATATTCCTGATGCTCGGAGCAGTGCCTGCCCCTTACAGGGTGCGCAGCAAATGTCTTAGGATATTCCAGGTTAGAGGGGAGCATAAGCAGAGGCCTGGCAGGGTGGCGTGGGGTAGAGGACGTGGGTGTGAGTGTGTAAAGAGTGAGGCCGAGGAAAAGCCAGCGGTCAGGCTGGCCCTGGGCACAGCACACAGATTCACACATGGCCCAGCCTATGCTGTGTACGGCACTTGAATAACAACAGCCCCAAGGCGTGGCTCAGTGGTTGAGCGTGGACTTATGAACCAGGAGGTCAGGGTTCCGTTCCTGGTCAGGGCACAGGCCCAGGTTGTGGGTTCGATCCCCCGTGTGGGGTGTGCAGGAGGCAACCCATCAATGATTCTCTCTCATCACTGATGTTCCTATCTCTCTCCCTTTGCCTTCTTCTCTGAAGTCAATAAAAATGTTAAAAGAAAGAATAATAGCTCCGCCCCAGACTCAATGCCTGCTTCTCTCCCTCCCTTTTTCCTGGTGACTGACCATCCTCTTCAGTCTCTAGGCATCTCATTTTCTGCTTAAAAAACTCCAATGGCTCCACAGCGCCCTTAGAACGAGACCCAGACTCCTCCCTGAGAGCTAGGCCTGCCTCCCGCCTGACCATGCCCAGCCCCACGGGCCCTGGTCCCACCACTCCAGCCCCATGGGCCTTCCGCGCCCCCCACCCGGCCCGCTCGCCCAGCCTCGGGGCCTCTGCACGGCGCTCTCTGCTCTTCCTTCACCTCCTCCGAGACCTGTCCTGCCCACCCACGAAGCTCTTCTCCCTCCGCTTCACCCCCTGAAGCACTCTGCCACCACGTTGCCCAGTTTTCTCTGAAATGGGCTGGTTTATTCACGTTTACTTATTTTTGTCTGTCACCCACTCCCAGATGTGAGCCCCGTGAGTTCAGAGACCTGACGCTTGCCCAGGGCTCTCTCCCCAGCCCCAGGACAGGTCCTGGCACCTAGTAGGCGCTCAATAAGCATGTTGAAGGAATGAAGGAGCCCTGGTTAAGAGTCCTGTGCCCTGGCCCAGGCACTGGCTGCCCCTTATCCACCCCCAGGCTTTGGGGTAGGACCACCCCTGTCAGTCAATTAAAAGAACATTCTTACTCAGCCCTCGTGTTAAAGCGGTGGCCCCAGGGGGCTCACATTCTAGCTCAGGGGTGGGCAAACTTTTTGACTGGAGGGCCACAATGGGTTCTTAAACTGGACTGGGGGGCCGGAACAAAAGCATGGATGGAGTGTTTGTGTGAACTAATATAAATTCAAAGTAAACATCATTACATAAAAGGGTATGGTCTTTTTTTTTTTTAGTTTTATTCATTTCAAAATCCGGCCCGAGGGTCGTAGTTTGCCCACGGCTGTTCTAGCTTGTGTCCAGGGCAAGGTGGCTTACGGAGCTGCCCCAGCCCCACGGCGCCCCGTGTTCTCATGGGGAGCCCAGGGCTCAGCAGACCTTCCAGCTAAGAGGTCACGTTCACTCAAATATTTAGCAGGCCCCGCCCCAGGAACTGGATGGCAATACGCCTCCCTCAGGGGCAATCGGGAATCCAATGACCCCCCTGCCGAAGGCCCGCCCCCGGAGGAAGGGGCAGCGGCTGTGGCCCTGGGATGAGCGGAGGGGGCAGCCCTGGGGCCCGAGCCCGGGGAGAGCGCACCTGACGTGATGGCGTTGTCCCTCCTTAAGTTCTCGCCCTCGCTCTTCAGGGAGGTGATCTCCAAGTTCCTCTCGGACAGGGTCTGGCACAGCACCTGGCTGTAGCCCTGCTGCAGGGCGCTGACCTGCAGGCGGAGGCAGTACAGTCAGAGGGACCGCCCAGGCAGAGGGGTCACCTGATCTTGGGTTGGGCTGTGGGGGAAACCACTGCTTTTCACTGTTAAAAGGACGGGAGAGGCCTGTTCCTTCAGTGCCACCGTTTGCTGTGCAATCAACAGTTGGAGCTTATCTTTGTGCACACACAGGGCCCGGGCACGGCTGCCACCGGGTTAGCTGATCCCCCAATGTGCCTGCCTACGACCTTTGAACTCACAGCCATCTGTAGACCAGCCCTTGGTTCCAGATCATCCGCACCACTGGATGCGGAGGAAAATTCAGGAGAGGGGAGCAGGTTATAGAATTAATTCCCTCCAATGGTCGAAACAAGGGTGTGTAGGTCACAGAGCATTCCAGAGCTTCCTGAGCCCGTTCTCAGGTTCCCCTCCTCCTCCTCCTCCTCCTCCTCCTTCCTTCTTCCTCCTCCTCCTCTTCCTGCTCCTCCTCCTCCTCCTTCTTCTTCTTAAAATATATGTTTATTGATTTCAGAGAGGAAGGGAGAGGGAGAGAGAGAGAAACATCAATGATGAGAGAGAACCATCGATCGGCTGCCTCCTTCATGCCCCCTACTGGGGATCAAGCCCGCAACTTGGGCATATGCTCTGCCCAGGAATGGAACCATGACCTCCTGGTTCATAGGGTGATGCTCAACCCCTGAGCCACGCCGGCTGGCACAGATGCTACTTCTTGACAGCTCGTTGCAGCATCACTGAAGGCTGACGGTCTCATTACAGTTCCCATTTTGCAAGTGAGCATACTGAGACTCAGAGAGGCGAGGTCGCAGGCGCCGGGTCACACGGCTGGTCAGAGGTGGAATTAGGACTCACATCTAGGCTTTAGCTCCAGTTCTTCCCGCCTTGTCCCACGGCTCTACGAACCCGCATGAAAAGCCAGAGGCTAAGAAGCCTAGTGTGGCCTCGGGGCCAGCCTGCGACCTTCAAATCCGGTCTCCGCCACTTCCAGGCTGTGGGAACATGGGGAGGACACCCAACTTTGCTTCCTTTTTCATTCTGCAAGTGGGGTGATGGGAGGCCCAATCTGGTAGTATTGTGAGAATCTATACTAATAAAAGGGTAATATGCTAATTATACCAGACATCTTCCAGATGACCTTCCGGACATCCTTCCAGACAAAGCCATGCTGGCGGGGATAAGGCAGAGGCAGTTAGGAGCGATCAGGTCGGCAGGGGAGAGCAGTTAGGGGGATCAGGCTGGCAGGAGAGAGCAGTTAGGGAGATCAGGTTGGCAAGGGAGAGCAGTTAGGGGGATCAGGCCAGCAGGCACATGAGCAGTTAGGACCCAGCGGTCCTGGATTGTGAGAGGGATGTCTGACTGCTGGTTCAAACCAACTGCAGCCTCTTGTTCAGAGATGCCTTGTTCTAAAATATTCTCCTTCAGTTGTAAACTGGCAGTCAGACATCCCCCGAGGGGTCCCGGATTGGAGAGGGTGCAGTCCGCCCCCCCCCGCCCCCCTTGCACAAATTTTGTGTAACAGGCCTCTAGTGATTTAATAAGTTAGTATATGTGCGTGTGGTCGGATCATACCTGGCACACGGCATGTGGGTGTTAGCTATGAGCAGTTAGGACCCAGCGGTCCTGGATTGTGAGAGGGATGTCTGACTGCTGGTTCAAACCAACTGCAGCCTCTTGTTCAGAGATGCCTTGTTCTAAAATATTCTCCTTCAGTTGTAAACTGGCAGTCAGACATCCCCCGAGGGGTCCCGGATTGGAGAGGGTGCAGCCCCCCACCTCCCGCACACTGCACAAATTTTGTGCACCAGGCCTCTAGTGATTTAATAAGTTAGTATATGTGCGTGTGGTCGGATCATACCTGGCACACGGCATATGGGTGTTAGCTGTGCCTATCCTCTCACCTGACTACCCACAGCATGTTCTGGCTTCAGCTTCTCTCGTCTGTCTCAGGGGAAGGTAGGTTGGTAGCATGTCTGTGTGCATTTGTAAGCCTTGTCTAGGCTCATGTAAACACCAGTGCGATTGTTGTTAAGAGCAAACAGAGGGCCCGGCCAGTGTGGCTCAATGGCTGAGTGTCGACCTATGAACCGGGAGGTCACACTTCGATTCCTGGTTGGGGCACATGCCCAGGTTGTGGGCTCCATCCCCAGTGGGGGGTGTGCAGGAGGCAGCTGATTAATGATTCTCTATCATTGATGTTTTTTTCTCTCTCTCCCTCTCCTTTCCTCTCTGAAATCAATAAAAATATATTTTTAGAAAAAGAGCAAATACAGGAATCCTTGGTAATGGTCCTATGCTGTAGGCATAGCGTAAAAAATGGAGGTGGGGTAAGCTCACATAATGTGGTGAGAGCCTTGCCACCAGATGGCGCTCACAACCTTTATTCTTGGTTTTGGTCTCAGAAAAATCTAGTCATTATTTCTCAGATAGAATTAACCGAACCATCAAGGTTTCGCTTCATTTTCTGACCCATTTCCTGCACCATCTGTGACATTTGGGGCAGTAACATTTACTTTTTCCCTGGGGGCATCTGAAACATGCAACTTTTCCATACAGGGCACTTGGAATAATTTATTTTAAAAAAGTATCTAGCTCTTCTCAGCTTAATGCTTTTATTTGCATGATACCAGAGGCACAACAGAAACTTCCAGAAGGGATGGGAAAACACCCTCCCCGCAAAGACTCCAGTGCTTCCGACAGAGATAAAATATTTTATCCAAAGCATCAGAGCTTCAGGGTTTCAGATTGTGGGAAAACTCCAAACAGTCTTCAAACCCCTTTATTTCTTTCACGACCAAAATAAACGTCCGTATTGTCTGTAACCGGCAAAAGCACCAGGCAGTTGAGCGTCTGTCCTGCTGTGCAATGAAGCAGGCACCACGAGAGCAGCAACAGGACCGGGTGGAGCTGAACGACCCGGCGGCTGGTTGGCAGAGACTGCAGGAGCTCGGAGCAGGCGCTTTCAGTGACATCCCAGACTGAAGATCTTTGAGGGCAGATCCTTACGCACATACTGGGGGTCGGGGGGCAGGGAGAATATAAAACAATCAGACCAATAGGCCAACCTGCCGTGTGCCGTGGGCCGTGTACTTCCAGCTGAAGGTCCTGCAGGTAATAGAATGTCTAAGAAACTAATATATGAGTGGGTGAACCTTGATTTGAGTTCAAACCCGCTGCGGCCTCTTGTTCAGAGATGCCTTGTTCTAAATGTTCTCCTTCGGTTGTAAGAGAAGATCAGGAGAGGGAGGCAGGCCACAGTAGGACGAGTCAGTGTGATTATTTCTAGGTCTTTTCTTTCTTTCTTTCTTTCTTTCTTTCTTTCTTTCTTTCTTTCTTTCTTTCTTTCTTCTTTCTTTTTCATCTTCTTTTTTTTAAACCTTTTTCAGATATCACTAGCCACTTAAACAATACTTAACTGCGACCTGCTGACAGCCAAAGATTTGTGGGAACTGCACAATTAGATGTCAAGTACATTTCGACGAGAAAAAAAGGTGTGTGGGGAATATTCATTCTCGTCCACGTACCTGGACAAGACGTGCCCCTTTTGCTCGGGAAAGCTGTGAAATGGGACAGTAACTGAAGGGCTGTTGCTCCACCCAACGGCCAGATTTGGTTCAGAAAAGAAAGATGCTCACGATGAGCCAGCTGCAGTCAAGGCAACTGTTTGCAGAGGCCGCTCCTGTAGGACCAGCTACTGACACTGGTTTTTCAAAAACGGGTCTGAAGAGAGTCATTTGCTCGTTTAGACGTCAGAGCCTGTCTGTGTTTCCTTGGCTTTCTGTCTCCCTCACGGGAATGCAGTCGGGAGGAGGCAAGGGTCAGGTCTGCCTTGTTCTTTGCTGAATTCCCAGAACCTGGGAGAGGGCATGGCACGAGGTAGGCGCCCCTCAAATATTTATTTGAGTGAATGAATGAATGAACAGACACGGGCCTATCTGAGTAATGAAGGTCACTGGGTCTAGTCTTTGCCCTCCTGGAGCTCACAGTCTCCTGGGAGAAGCTCCTGGGTCCACCACGCAACCTATGTCCTTTTCCAGGCACCCCGTCTGGGCCTGAGGATGCGCCTCTTAAGTTGGTTACGGAAGAGAAAGGCAGTGATGGGGCCAGAGAGCAGGGGCCCCGCGCCTGACCCAGGTTCTAAGCCGCATTGTGCATTGGGGCCAGCTGAGTGAATGAATGAATGAATGAATGAATGAGTGAATGAACAGACACAGGCCTATCTGAGTAATGAAGGTCACTGGGTCTATTCTTTGCCCTCCTGGAGCTCACAGTCTCCTGGGAGAATCTCCTGGGTCCACCACGCAACCTATGTCCTTTTCTAGGCACCCCGTCTGGGCCTGAGGATGCGCCCCTTAAGTTGGTTACGGAAGAGAAAGGCAGTGATGGGGCCAGAGAGCAGGGGCCCCGCGCCTGACCCAGGTTCTAAGCCGTATTGTGCACTGGGGCCAGCATTCATTAGCGGCCAATTTCTTTTCTTCAGTCACCTTTGTTGAGATATAATTTATGTACACAATCTACGGCCAACTTTATAGTAGTCCTTAAAAAAACAGGATCTGGTTTGGAAAGAGAACATGACTGGTGCATCCAGAAATGCTGGGCGGAGGATTTTTGTTTGATGAAATTCCCCACGAGTGAGCCAGCAGCTACCCTCGGGCTTTGCAAAGGCCTCAGGGTTTGGGACGCTGGGATTCCGTGCTCCCCTGTCCAGCTCACTGCCCACGGCTCTTTCTGGGGCTGGGTGGGGCTGGGAGGTGGGGGGAGAGGTGGTCCCTGAAGCGGCAGAGTTGGGTGGAAATATCAAGTGGGGTGAGAGCGTGGGGTCGGCCGAGAGTTCAAATCGTGCTGCCCTCGCCCCCTTGCTGTGCAAGCTGTGCCGCGTTGCTGGCGTCTCTGAGCCTGCCTCGGTCTCCTCGTCTGCAGGATGGAAAGTGTCGGAGGATTGGGAGGTTACAAACTAAAGCCTTGCACCTGTTCTTGCACATAGTAGGTGCTTAGTCAAAGTTAGTATGGATCTTACCAGGCTAGAAACCTGCCAAGCCTCTCACCCCCGGGACTTGTGCTCTGACCCACCACGCGGCGCTGACCCCCCCTTTCCTGGCCGCCTGGGTGGCTCCCGCCGTCCTCCTCGGGCCCTCCCGAGAGCTGTCACCCTGCGTCCTGACTCAGTCCTCGCCGGTGGACGGTCTCAGAGTCCTACCTGGCTTTTCAAGCTCTGGATCTCTCTCTGCTTGGCGGCGATGTCCTCGTCCAGACCCGGGCACTTCTGCGAGGCGCCCCGCTGGCCCCTGGGGAAGGTGGTCTCGGACAGCAGCGTCTGACTCAGGCTGGCCAGCTCGTTCTGCAGGTTCGCGATCACAGCGTCTTTGTACTTGGATTCGAGCTCGAAATCCGAGAGGCGGTTGACTTCTCTTCCCAGCAGCAGGATGATTTCATCCTGGGGGGCAGCGGGGGCAGATGGGCAGGTTACTGGGTGTGGGCCTGGGGGCAAGGTTAAGCCCATTAAAAACGATATTGGAAACGTGTGATGTAATTCTTTTAGGAAGGCGAGGGCAGGCAGGGATGGGGGTAGCGGGGGCGAGGAGGCAGGCCTTCAAGGCTCGCTCTGTCACTTGGAAAATCTCACGGAGACCCGAGTTTGGTTGAAATGAGCCACTTGTGTCTAGTCTCCTGTAAATGGACGCTGTGCCTCACGGGTACTAACACTTTCCCTTCCCCTAAAGTTAGACGTTCACCCTGAGCACAACCCTCCCTGCTGGGAACTTTGGTTGCTAGAGAGTTTATCGTATTTATTAAATTGCATCATGTTCAGCCCAGTACCCTGGGGACCTAGGACAGGTAACCAGGGAAACGGCATTCTATTCGACCACGTTGTGCTTATAATGAGGGCCAGTTTTTAACTTCAAAAAAGTTAATATATTCTGAAACGTTTCCTTTCTCTTTCCACTCTGCGGGTACTACTGCCTGCCTCTCTTGGTTGTTCACATAAAAATGTCTCCCAGGAAACCGAACCTGGCAGGAGCCAGGCTTTCTGTGTGTGGGCGCGTGCGCACGCTGGCCTGGAAAACAAGCCGCTGGCCGACTTCCCCACAGGTAATCGCCCGCCTCCCACCTCTCGAAGAGAAAGAGTCCTGCAGCCAAATAATCTGTGGTTCCCCCGAAAGGAAAAAAAATCCCCAAAACTCGCCACTAGAAGTCATCGTTACACTGTCAGAAAGACTGAAACAACAACAAAAAAAAGAAGTCCAGATGTGTTTTCAAACGCAGCTATAGAATTTCCGCCTTGAAGGAATTCCTGCTCTTCCAACCATTTCCTGTCGGTTGGGAGGAGCTAAGTGGGCAGTTTCCAGGCCGGCTCGTTGCCTGGGGAGCTGTCCGATCAGCCTCACGACCTCCCCCTGCCCTGACCTGGGGAAGGACAGCGGCATGAGGAAGTCTGCCTGGCACTGCCAGCTGCTGCCAAGGGTCTCTCCAGGGGTCTCTGAAAATGCTTGTGGCAAAATGTCAAGGGACGGTATCAAACATCCTGTACCCCTGGGCAGCCTCCCAAAGCCTCCATGCTCAGCCAGTATCCATGCAACACGCATTAATTGAGCAGCTACTATGTGTCGGGCCCCGTGCTGGGCACTGGAGTACAAAGAAGCCTGCAGGGTGTGGTGCCCAGCTGTGGTTTCTGCCTTCCTGGGGAGGACCCCGTCCCTTCCTAGAGGGAGAGCACCCCCTTCCACGGGGTCCTGGTCAGACTGGAAATCCCGTGCCCTGCTCCTTCCTGTCCCGCCTCCCCACATGCATGTGACTCGGGCTGGTCCGTCAGAGTTTCCTCCGAGATTTCACGTGTCCATTGCAGAGGGAAAGGGTCTTGACTCCTTTGGGGCCCTAACTTGAAAGGCATAGGCTTGGTTGCTTGCGTTTGTCTTTTCCCACACATGCAGCCAGCCTGCTGCCGAAAGCCAGACTCTGAGGGAAACGGGAGAGACTGCCAGTGGGACTGTTCTGAGGACACCACTGGAGCCCCTGGATCTCGCCAGGCCTGAAGCCAGCAGGCCTTCACACCTCCAGCAGCAGGAGCCGACAGTGGCTTCCTGTTGTTTGGCGTAAGCTAATTTGTGCATTGTTATCGTACTCGAAGGAGTCCTGGCAAGTCAGGGCATCAATGACTCACAAATAGAAAAACTATCAATGTGGTTACGCTGTATTTCCAGTTTGACAACTGGGGTGGATTGGAAAATGGCTACAAATGCTTGGCAGCTTTGCCCCCAAGTGGTGGAGTCTGTTTCCCCACCCTCTCAACCGAGGCTGGCCCTGCCACTTGCTTTGACCAACGGAATACGGTAGAAGTGATGTTGGGCCATCTCTATGCAAGTTCTTTAAAAAAATTTTTTTTTATTGATTTCAGAGAGGAAGGGAAAGGGAGATAGAAACATCAATGATGAGAATCATTGATTGGCTCTTCCTGCGC